GGTGATGACTAGCTGCCTTCCCACTGCTAAATTAGGGACGGCTAGCGCAGATAGCCCTCGTGTAGCTTTGCGTGAAATTCACAACAAACAAACAAACACTCAAAACAGGGGGATATCACTAGGTTTTATTTATGCAACATTTCAATTATTATTATAATAAAAATTAAAATTATCAGGCTTGACACGAGATATATTCATATATTCACTATATTAGCATTTGTTTTTCTTAAGCTAATTATTCATAATGACACTATTTAAGCTGTACAATGATATCTAACACTGTGTATTTTAGCAATACATTTACTAAATAACGCCTATATTCTATGTTCTGAAAAGCACAACCTTTGGATAAAAAAGCTATTTCTACTTATTTATATAGTGAAATGAATAAGCATCCCAACAAGTATCACAATGTAATATCTTAAATATCACTAACGTTAATATTTGTTGTTTACATATAGACATCATGATTTTTCTGGCCTTTTGTCCCTTAGTTACAACAAGAAATGTTGTTATTTCATATCGTAAAAGCAACTAAATCAGAAAATAAAAGTTTCTTTTCTCAATTTTACGATCATCCTGTTCGTTTTTACTAAGTCATCAATAACTGAGTTTAATTAAAACATCGATTTTGCGTGTACTTTGTTCAGTATGTCAAAAAAACACAACTAGTGTCACCTAGTGGCTACAACCACTGCTACAGGTAGTGATGGTACAAAATCAAATAAAAATCTTATAAGCCGTTCGTTTTTCTTTCTGGAATTTACAAAACTGCTTAGTGGCAAGGAAACATTTATGCTTTATGTACTTAATAATTAATCGTAATTCGTAACAGTAGAGGTATTCATGAATTATGGTTGTATACTTATTTTTACGGAATGCTTCTATTTTGCGAATTACTGCATACCGGTTGGTTAGATACATTTCATTAAATATCCTTCTTACTCACCTTTATTACTTTACAAGTGGTAAACATATAACAGTTACACATATCATAACATCTCAGAAATTCCATATCAATATATGCAGTGAGCAACAAAGTTACATGTATTTCTCATCACATATGTATAATATATATATATATCATAAAATATTGTCCTGTGTGCTTTCATTCGTGAGTTCTTATAATAAAATAATGACCCACATATCTTCCACATTTATTTACATTATTTATATTCTAAAAGGCTTAATTAATCATAAATATATATATTACTACTTCAACTTACTTATTATCACAGTTTTAAAATCATTAATAACAATCTCAGATCTTTGATAATCTCTGCTTGGAATGTCTTCAGTTTTGTTTCTGAGAAATGGAAAATTCAAACCTTATCTACTACAAAGATAATAAAAATAGCAAGTATTTCTGATTATCCAAATAGGAGCTCAACACTCTGCAACATATTTCCTTTCAAGAACAAAGAATAGATATGTCTTTAGTATGTTTTTAACGTTGAAATGTAAAAGATGAATGATTCAGCAGTGAGAATCATTCATGTCACACTTCTTATCAATCGTGTTTAAGTGATCTTTAGTCAACTTCAAATCATCAATTTAGAATCAGTAGTAATTGATAAATTCTCAACAGTCATAACGAAGTAGTCACTACTTTACTTCATTTCAACAATAGGGAATCGGTGGTAATTGCTATTTTCTCAACAGTAAGAAAGAAATTATAACTATTCTACTTAATTCCAACAATAGAGAGCAGGTGGTAATTATTAACTTCTCAACAGTCATAAAGATATAACCACTAGTCTACTTCAACAATGAGTCTGTGATAATTACTAACTTTTCAATAGCAACAAAGATGTAACCACTTGTCTACTTCAACAATGAGTCTGTGATAATTACTAACTTTTCAATAGCAACAAAGATGTAACCACTAGTCTACTTCAACAATGAGTCTGTGATAATCGCTAACTTCTCAACAGTAACAAAGGTGTAACCACTAGTCTGTTTCAAGAATAAGGAGTCGGTGCTAATTGCTAACTTTTCAATAGCAACAAAGATATAACCACTAGTCTGTTTCAAGAATAAGGAGTCGGTGCTAATTGCTAACTTTTCAATAGTAACAAAGATGTAACCACTAGTCTACTTCATTTCAACAACAGAGGGTATCTGATAAAGGCCAACTTCTCAACAGTATCGAAAAAATGGTCACTAGTGTATTTCATTTGGACAATGAAAAGTAAATGATAATTACTTACTTTCTCAAAACTCACAAAAAGCTAACCAATAGTCTATTTCGTTTCAGCAATAAGGATTCAGTAGAAATTGCTTAGTTTCTCATCAGTCAGAAAGAACTAACCACTAGTTTACTTCATTTCTACGATAGGTATTCGATGGTAATTGTTACTTTCTTAATTAACACTAAGAAAGAAGTGTCCACAAGACTACTTCATTTCACCAATAGAACTTCTATGGTAATTGTTGCCTTCTTAATAATTGACGATTATATTACCTCTCAAGAGCCACAGAGACATTGCTACTTGACTACATCATTTCAACAATAAGTAGTTGATGTAATTGCTACATTTTATTACAGCAAATGCTAGTAGTAGTAGTACTTCATTTGAAAAATAGAGTTAGTGCTAAAACGTTGTTTGAGAAACAAAGCATTTTTAAACGACGTTATCAACATAGAGGAGTGAATGAAGAAGTACAAGCAATATTCACAGTTCGTGAATTGAAATAGTTTGAATACGCCTCAGAAAAAAAATTAATATATTGTTACACAGTAAGTTTCGTTTTACAGTTGTTACATGTGATATTCAATACGTAATAATAATAAAACGTTACTGTAAAAGTCATGGCCTTTTTATGTACGAATGGGAACACAACTATAATTATTATTATTTTATTACAAATTACAGGTTTTACAGCAAGGAAGAATAATTTTAAAACAGTTGCGACGTTTCGATCAGTGGTGCAATCCAGTGATCGAAACGTCGTACCTGTTTTAAAAATATTCTTCCTTGCTGTAAAACCTGTAACTTGTAATAAAACAATACTTATTATTAATAACTAAACTGAAAACGAAAATATTAACTATAATAATTATTTTAGTTATTTTGCTAATATTACTTCAAGCAGCATTCCTGTCGTTTCCAAGATAATACGTAAGTAAGTAAAAAAAAATCAATAATGTTTTCTGAAACTTAGAATCCCATATATTATCAGAATCATATATTAGGATTAATGAATAGCAGTCCGTATCCTTTCAAACTCATTCCAACAACATGATACATTCTGAGAATACGTCATGTTCTGAAAACATACAAAAGAGCGCTAGAAAATGTTCATTATCAACCAACATGAAATACGATCCTTCCAAAAGTCATTCTTACTCTATCCGTCATCTCTAAATCTTATAAGAGATTTTTTAATAAGGTTTCATTTTGTACTCACACGCGTCCTTCTAGATTTATGAATAAGTCAATGCGAGGTAGAGACTCTGACCTGAACTCAAACGACCACGCAATCTTGTCGCATTGAATACAGACAATGTAGTTCAATATCGTGCTGTTACACTCGAGCGATATAAGCTTTCTTCTAGTACAAAAAAAAAAGAATAACAAGAATCTTGACTAAAATTGATTGTGTAGGTCTATAGATATTTCTTTTATAACTATATTTTGATTTCATATATCATACTGTTATTTTAAAATAGCAAATAGAGCCATCAATTCTAACTTGAAGAGACAACAATGTATTTTAGAACAATACAGGTTATAATATTAAAATTATTAACCATCAAATAGTGTTTTTTATTCAACAATTATTAAGCACTTCTGATCAAAAGAAAGCTAACTATATAGATTAGGACTAAAATAATTAAAAAGACAAACCTTATAACAATTTGACCAGAAATACTTAATGTTTTAAATCAATATACCATAAAATAAAAAACAATAATGATTAGAATGTATTGCGTTATTAGTTAGATACCTTCACTGTTAATAATATTTTTGGCCGTAATTTCGTTAATATCTCACGAGTTTCGACCAGCCTAGAAACTTTAAATTTCTTCTAAATCCAAATAATAAACTAACAATGAAAAATAATCTTCGTGAATGTAACATTGATTGAAAAAAAACTATTACAAATTATTTGGAATACACAACAGTTATGTTAATTTTTAACAATTAAAGAAAAAAAAAAGGGTAAGAACACAACCTCACGGAAAGAGTAAAATGTGCCCTGGTAAGTGAGGTAAGAATACATCGTCCGTTAGATCTAACCTTTATTCGGAAGCCTCTAATGTGATTATAAAATAAACATTAAGGCAATACGGGTACTCAAACCCATTATATGCAATATCTAGAACCATCTGGAGTCAGTTGTGGTAAGGTAGTTGTTCTTGATGGAACATAATTAAAAATTAACAATCAAAATAAAACCAAGATTAGAGCAGATTACCACCAGACGAAAGGTTAATAAGTAAAGCTTATCTCCTAAAACAGGCAGACCAGTCTCTGTAACGATCATATATACATATCGGAACAGCGTAATAAAATCGTAAGATCTCTAAGCTAAAACTTTCCCGTATTAAAACAATGAAAAATTGATTTTTTCCTTATAACTTTAAACAAGTAGCGCTGAGAACAAACACAATCTCAGCCATGATTAATATAATATTAAAATACTTTGGAATAGAGATTAAATCTGATATACAGTGTATTCCTACCTCTGATTGGGTGCTATTTCTGTCCTCTTAATATTGGATATATTATACCCTTTTCCACTTCATAAAATGTACCCTATATTTATTTGCCTATCTTCTATATGCGACACTTTTCTGTTTTTGGCATTGTTGTCTGAAGAGATTATATATAATATAATAGTGTATATGTGAGAATGGGAATTTATAATCTCCGTAAATACAGGCAATAAATATATATATTTTTTAATAACGATACATATACTATCAACCTTTAAGTTGCTTTTCCAGCTTCAAAATTTACATCAATCAATAGCTATTCTCTCTCATTTCTAAGCTAGTAACCTGACGCAAAAATGTCTATGGAAGCTTCATTTTGTTGCGCAGTTGTTGGAACTGTGTTTATCATTTCTTTCCGTTGTCGAACTTTTCGCGCTTTTTCCTCGTGAGCTCTAGACTTTTCTTGGAGTTCACGCAGGTATTTTTCTCTGAAAATTATAAAGTATCATGTTGAAAAGTTATATAGCAAAGAATAGTAAATATTAATAACACAGTAAAAATTCTACAAAAACTGAAATCTATATTTAGTATATTTTAATTATTACGGCCAAATCATTACCGAAAAATATTTCCTTCGTAGTTTTATTTCTCAATGTTCTATTACTTATAAATTACAAAACATACCTAGTACGTGGTGATCTTGCGAGCAGTAAAAACGCTGAAAGTCTTTACCTTAACAAACAATCAATAAACAAATAATAAGATCGGTGTGAAATAACAGACAAGACTTTAAATTAAACCCGTACGGCTAAAAAAGTACCGTAGTGGATCCCCCAGCGTTAAGTGATCATTCAAGTATTAGACAAAAAACAGACAAACGAGATTTGAGAGAAATACATAATAGAAACGTCTTATCGAAATGTTAAAACTTAAATTGAATCTGAGTAACAAATCAATATCGATGGTATATATAAGTTAGAAAATGGAACCCCATAAAAATACCACTGCGTTCAGTATACCAGCTATACACTAATTTGATTCCTTCTGGTGGCTCAGTAGAAAGCTCGATTCTGGTGGTTGGCACAGATAACCCATTGTGCTTAAACAAACAAATGAATCCAGTTCATACCAATTCGCGAGTATTTGTACAAGTCATTTAAATAATAATTCAAATGTCCTTTGAAATCAAGCAAGAAAACAAGTATATATATATATATGTATATATATATATATATATATATATGTGGATATTTAATTTGTTAATCTTTTCACTGCGAACTGTCTCCTTTAGTAAATCAAATCATCTGACGTCATATATGTAAGTAAAATCTTACTAAGGCCTCCGACTGGTTCTGAAAGATTGAATTTTACTTGACTTATTCATAAAATAATCTTTAACCTATGTTCTCTCTTTTGTTGATTTTTTATTTATTTTTCGTTAAGCCTTTTATTTTGAAACTCATACATCTCTCTTAAAATCCTCTTTCAACTTACCAATTATCCAACATAAAGTGCGTGTTGTTATCACACATACAATCCTATTTAACTTACTAATTATCCAACATAAGGTGCGTGTTGTTATCACACATACAATCCTGTTTAACTTACCAATTATCCAACATAAAGTGCGTGTTGTTATCACACATACAATCCTATTTAACTTACTAATTATCCAACATAAGGTGCGTGTTGTTATCAAACATACAATCCTGTTTAACTTACTTTTTATGCAACATATAGTGCGTGTTGTAAACACACACACATTAATATTATTTAGTTACATTTTCAATTATAGTGGCTCTAGCATTTGGGGACTGAGCACGGTCCACTAGTTAACGTTCCGAATTGCGTATCTGAGAATCCGTTGTTCGCGTCCTGTTACCACCCAGAGGCAAGTTTACGGACTTACAATGCTAAAATCCGGAGTTCGATTCCCCGTGACGTATAGAGTCCAGATAGTCTATATTGTATAGGTTTGCCTTAAACCTATAAAAAAATTCTTTCTGTGTCATTTAACAGATCTTATGAAGATATTTTTAAAATTACTTTAAACTATAATACATGACACTTAAATTTGGCGTTTGTGATATATATTCTTGATGTTACATTATTGAGCTGTGAAAACTATATAAACTGTAAACTTCGGCGAGGAATAACTGGATTGTTTTTTTAGTTAACACAAGAGAAAATATTAATAAATTTAGCTTTTGTTTGTATGTTTGTTTGTAATTAAGCACAAAGCTACAAAATGAGCTATCTGTGCTCAGCCCACCACGGGTATCGAAACCCGCATTCTAGCGTTATAAGCCCGCAGACATACCGCTGTGCCACTGGAGGCATAATATATTTAGTAACTTATAAAAATGTTTTAAACACTAAGACTTTGCTAAATTTCAACACAACAATTTAATTTACCTTTAGTTTTATCGAATTTACAGTTTAGTAGAAGAGGAAAAGACCTCACTCATGCATAACATCATATTAGACAAAGGGAATGCTCGGAATATATAAGAGAAAGTTGATTTCTTCCTTTTGTGGAAATTTAAAAATCTGAAAAAAAAACAACTAAAAATAACATTTGGATCCCTGTTACACTTTGTTTACACCCTGGGTCTGTACAGAGCTAAATAATATCTTTGTCGGGAAGTGATAATATTTGTGTAATATCACACAAGATAATCCTACTGTAACAATGCAATTTCTAGTTGATATTCAGTAAATTTTCTCAACCAGTTGTTTTTTTAACATGTTTTCTATTTTAAAATATTTTGATATTACATTAAGAAGCGCTCTCGCTCTTTTTCGCTGTTTCAACTTATAATGGATGGCCCAAAAGTATCGAATAATACTCTGATAAATATATGTAGTTAATATAATATAGTATTTGATTGGTTTGAACGTGGAGCAATTATTGAAATGTCAGGCAATTGTTGGACGCCATAACCATTTGTTTTTATCGTTAGAGAATGCTAGTATTTCTTATATATATATATATTCTGTAGCTCAATTAATTTTGGACTACCCTGTATTTGGACTTCCCTACAATTTCTGTCTGTTTCATAATATTAACCATAACAACCAGTCTTGGTAGGAGGCTTTCGATGTGTTCTCTAGTTTTCCTTTTATCACCAGTCTTTCTATAATGATGTACATCTACTTTGTATTTTTTCCATTAACAATGGTTTCGAATTGATGGGGAATATTTTGAATTTATATTATTTTCCTTAACATTGGATTTTGTTAAGAACCCTTATTGGGTTTTATAACCAACCATACCTAACACGCTTGTCTTGTTAAAAAAGTTTTCAGTTTAATGTGATTTATCTCAGCCTTGTTAAAAATATTCTTTCTCTCTGTTTTATGTTGTTTTGATAACATGCTGATCGCAGATTTAGAATTAATTTAATTAGTGACTCAAGATTTTTCTTTAAAATACTCGAAATTATTTTTAAGTTAAATATAATTTATCTTTTTTAACTATTTGGATTTGGAAGTTCTTCCTAGTTTTATGTTACTCTTTTTTATCCATTCTTCTCATGAATCGAATACTTCTCTTCATATATATGAAATATCTTCTCTTCATAGTATTATTTATTGGTCCAGTAAATGATCGCGATGTCTTTTTTTTTCTTTATTTTTTAGCCAGAATCTAGAAAATCAAATTAAAATGATCGCGATGTCTTTTTTCTTTATTTTCTAGCCAGAATCTAAAAAATCAAATTAAAATGATCGCGATGTCTTTTTTCTTTATTTTTTAGCCAGAATCTAGAAAATCAAATTAAAATGATCGCGATGTCTTTTTTCCTTATTTTTAGCCAGAATCTAGAAAATCTAAATTACAATGATCG